CACCTCTCCTCGTCATTCGGCGTGGTGTATCAGCTGGGGTGAAGCCCAACGGCAGAGCATCTACAGCGATCCCAAGTATGAGGATGGCTACTACCCGTTTGACGATCCCCCGGCCACCGGTTTGGGTGCGGCGCGCATGTCCGCCCTCCTCACCTACCGTAGCCGCAACTCTTTCGAGTCTCGCTTTGGCAGAAACGTGCCCGATCCCTCCAAGCGGCAGACCATCAATGGCCAGGAAAGGTCGCCCACTCCCCCGAACGAGCACTGGGCTATCCACAACGACGGACACAAGAGTGGGCGCAGCTCGCCCGGGCCGCAGTCCGACGCCCAGCACTCTGAAGTTCAGTTCCAAGACCCTCAGTTCTCCGGTGCCAAAACCTTCAGCAAGACCATCGAGACCAACGGTTCCCAGAAGCGGCTCCCCACCTATTTCTCTGCTCAGTCGTACCTTCGGTACCAGGGCGAGAAGTTCGTGAAGCGTTTCGATGCCAACTGCTACATCGCCATCACCCGCAAGTTGGACACGCACGATGTGTCCCGACACCGGGCCAGTCCTTCCGCGGAGAACCCTGTCCGTGAAGCCCTGTCTCAGATTGAGCAGCCCGCTCTGGTTCTAGGTATCGAAACCGATGGACTGTTCACTTTCGATGAGCAGAAGGAGATCGCTGCCGGCATTCCGGACTCCCGCCTGAAGCGTATCGAGAGTCCCGAAGGTCACGATGCCTTCCTCCTCCAGTTCGAACAGGTCAACCGCTACATCCTCGAGTTCTTCCGCGAAGTGCTGCCGGATATCATGTCCAAGGCACCCGCCGAAGGAGTCGAGGCTGTGGACGGAGTCAACAAGCTAACCAAGAGCAGTACCTTCGGCGAAGCGGAAGTGGAAGATATCACCGCGTGGTAAACTGACCCCCAGAGTCCTATTAGATGTGGCGCATTAGTTGCAGCCTTTTATACTGCCTGATGTACCGCGTGGGCATGCCCCGGCCTTTCTCTCGGCCAGAGAGGACGCGCCGGCGGCTTCGGACCCCGCCAGGCTCAGGCGCCTTGGGGAAGTAGCGGTGCGGTCTTGTGATTTATTATTCTTAGCCAGTCAGAGAGATGAGCATCCAACTGCCTCTCTCGTTTCCTCTACACAGGTAAGGCTGTAAAAGAAGCATCCAACTGCTCTCCATCAGATAAGCCCTCACCGAGTGTTCTTTGCACACGTCAAGACACCGAGGGTGGTGGGCGACCTTCATAAGAAAAGTGTTCGATCGTACATAGATCTGTTATGGTAAATAGAATTTTGTTCTTCATCCCTTCTATTGTCATAGCACTGGCCACCCGTTACATACAGTGCCTGGCGGTGTGGCCTTGTAATTAAGGTCTCGTATTCAAACACTGATGACTTTGCAAACACAACTCTGAATTCGAACCACATGACACCGCCATCACACCATCATCCTCGCAAAGATCCGCCTCTTCTATCCGGTTCGATTCCCAATCCGCCCAGCAACCCATTGTTACACCAGGAACCAACACCAACACCAACACCAATACCAGCTGCAGCTCTGCTCCGCATATGATACCCGCCGTCGGGCCTCACCTGAATGCCCTCCTGAGGTCATTGCGGAGAACCACCAGACAGAGAATATGACGTGGTCGGCGCAGCAAAAGCGCCATGGATTTGGATAGGCTTTCGGGAATTATTTTTTACAAGGCAGAAAGAGCTGGGCCGCTTGCAGGAATTGAAGCGAAATGCGGAGTGCAGATGGGGAAAGTTCTGCGTGCAAAACTCTGAAGCCGGTTATTAGACTAGGTTTGAAGTTCGACGGGTAGAGGCGGGTTGGAGATGTGATGTATCATTTTGACCTGCGCTTTGGCGCTGCTGTGCGTGTGTGTGTATTATACAGTACGGGGTTGGCATGCAGGATATCATAATTCTTTTTGAAGCTTTACTGTTATTCTTCCAATGGGGTTGCTACAGTAAGATGGTTCTATTCTGTATCAGAATTTGGTACATGTGTTCGAATAGCACCAATCTTTGCATTCCCACTCATGAGGTATCGAAGTAATCTTGAGAGGGCATGCATGGCTTCAAGCCAGTCTTTATGCAGAGATAGATTATAGCCTCTCGAGAATCTCAAGTGGAACGTCTCGTTCTCCGAACAACCTTTTGAATGTACCTGCTCCATCTGAGTGGTCGTAAACAGCCCACGTGAGATATAGATACTAGACCCATAGAGACCTAGAGTGAATACTTCTTGGTCTTGGTGGTCTATGCTGACATTTGCAGCAAGCTGTCCCAGCATGATACTCAGATTCTCGGCCAGAAAGTCCTGGGAGGTCTGCCCTTCAAGCCACTTCATAGATGTTAGGATTGTGGCCATCAAGAGGCGAGGAATATGCATATGACAGGGGAAAAGCTGCCAGGGGATGAATACATACACCAACATAAGAGACTATCGGTACAGACAGTCCTTGTGACTTGACTACAACTGCACCCTCGGGTCTCGAAGCATATCTTTTACCGCCAATCACATACCTTTTCTTGAGACCGGATACAGGAAAGCTAGTTCAAGGCACTTAGAAAAAAGTCGAAAGACACAAACACAGGGGAAAAGCTTACTAAAGTTCAGAGCGATTCTCTGGAAGGTTTTCGAGATTATCATAAATAGCCTGCATCAAAACCTTCAACATCATACCCTGGGATTGAAGAAACTGCGGTGCTCTTCCGGGTGTTTCCCAGTTCTGCCTCGGCAGTGTGATTTTCTCGCCCGGTCTCAAAAATACTGGAATCTGCACTGGGTCGAGTTCGTTCAATTCCGCACGGTAACAGGAAAAGTGATAGAAAAAGTCCCTGTACTTCGACTCTTCTTTCGGCCAAAAGCGAGTACAGTTTGCTTTTGCGATATCATGATGCTTGAATACCCATGGGATTAGCCTTTTCACGTCGCTGCTATCTGTAATCAGTCATTAGTGCTTTATTAAAGCATCGGGTAGAGCTATATACTTCGGTATTTGATGTCTGTGTCGGTAGGGATCAGTCCATCAATATCAGTAACTTCCGAGTATACTGTTGCAGACATTTTGGTGACGAATTCGAGGCTAGATGCCAGGCATGACAATCAAGGCTAAAAAGTGTCAGTGAAGACAGATAGAGGCATGATTTACCTCACATATGTAAGTGCCTGGTTGATTACAAGAAGTAGTAGTAACTAGTAGTCAAGTTATGTGATGTCACATGATCGCTATGTCTTGTTTGATTTGTCAAGCCAACCCGCGACCGTCATCTATAGCAACAGCAACAGCGAATCGATCAATGGAATGAATTTTATAGCAACATGTGGAAGGGCTTATACATTGTCAGAAACAATAACTATCTCCTGACTCCGCCGCGTGAGCTCTTGCAAGCATTGATGTAAACGCTGCTGACATTGACAAGAGAACTAACTACGCTGGCCTGATATGAAAACCAACTCAAGGCCTCTTGAAGGTGACACCGTCGCGAACACGCCATGAAATTGAACACATCAACGACCAAAATTTGCTGCCTTTGCAATGTCACCCTGAGTTACTTTGTATCATACTTTGGGTCAACATTGTGGAGATGTCATAGAGCTTCTGGGGCTTGGGTTACGAAAGGGTCAATATGGAAATCCTTGAGTTCGGGATACTGATTTCGTCTCATGCTATGGTATCGATCATATTCAGGGTCCGACAGCGTCTCCGCATGGCTGCCGTATGACGGTGGTGGTAACTTAAGTACAGAACAGGGCGTTTCGATCGACTCTTCCCAGCAAGAAAGGCAGCGGAGAACTGCCTATCAGAAGTTGCTGCAGTCCCGCCAGGATTGCCCTATGTGATGGATCTCATTCTTGCTACCCGATCGGTCATTCCACGAAAACCTCGTACAGCCCCTTGATTCATCCCTTCTTTCCACTCCAACGGCCCCTTGCGAAACCGTTGGACAAGGGAAGTCTTCCGTTTGGTGCAACAGCCATGCTGTCACACTCAGTTGATTCGTGAGACTCTATACCCTCGCATTGGGAGATGACTTGGTTCGTTTAGACCTCGAGTCTGATGGGGGTAACAACACACAGCTTCTCTGGATGCTCTGATCAGCACTGGCTACCATTAGAAATGGAAAAGTGTGGACATCATCATCTCAGACGCATCGACAACTGCATGGCCTGCTTTGCTACCCCTCCTTGGCCGGTTTCACCCCTAGCGAATGGCAGCCGGACTGGCTGCATCATCGACAATAGTGCACTGCAAGATTAAGTCCGAGGCCACTACGAGGCAATCAGACGGCGATGATTTCAGGCATGCAGTAGCCCCGTGATGCCGTGTGACAGAGGCTTGCTTTCTGCAGGGCCTCCTCTTTTCCTACCTGCTTTCTCTTCCCTGGCTGACGGCCTCATCGCACCAACCACGCTCGTTCCTTTTGTTCTCTGGTTTTCTCGTCCATGATATTTCATTCTTTGGTCCCTCGTTGAGACAGCCGGTGTCCCCAGCGCCGCGGTTGCATTATAATTACTCCTTGCGATTGAATATTGGAGGTGGTGTACCTAGCAGATGGACTGGTCCATTGCTCCTGAGTCACCTTGTTACCTCTCGTCTCTCATAATTTCCGGTGGCTTTTCTTCCCCTGACCTTCAAATCGGTCCTCACCCCTCCTTTCCTTGATCTCGACAGCATTCCTCGAATCGCTCCCCACATTCCATCCCAGAAGTTCCTGGAGAGCACCTGCCTCTTCGAGCTATTCTTTGGCTGAGGAATTGATCTGGGCTGATCTTGAGTATCGCCGATTTTGGTCCGTTTCCTTGGGACTGGTAGCCCAGCGACCGGATTTGTTTCCTTTGTTTCGCTACTCTCCATATCACGAGTCGATTGTCGACGCACCATTGCGTTCTCCTACATTGGCTGGCGTCGCCACAGTCTTCCCTGCAGTCTATCCAGCTGATCCCTTTCCGGACCGAACGCCTCTTGTTTCGTCATATTTGCAAACATCAGCCACGATGGAGTTCAGCACGAAGCGACGCACCTCCTTTTCTTTTCTGTTCGGGTCACAGGTGTGTATTACCTCAGATTGCCTCACGGTCGCCGCCTAATGTGAAGCTAGAAACCAACTTTGATAACCCAGCAAAACCAACTTACGCTGAACCAGCTTTCCCATAACCAACCCACCGGTTACTCGGAATTTGTCGATAGCCCTGGCACCTATCAGCCTTCCTCGCCGTTAATCGACCGACCGAACATCCCTACCGACCTAGAAGCGCAGATTAGAAATGCCTGTTCATTACTCGTACACAGAATCGAGAAAGGCCAACCGTCGGGGCCTAGCAAGCGCTCTCGCGCGGTCACAACCAATACGACGATGCACGAACCGTCCACAGCACCTCAGATTGACTCCATGTATGTGTCTCCCAAAGTGGGAGCCGATGTGGCAGCCCTGAAGGACAAGTACGATTCCGGGGTCGCTTTGACCCAGCAGTCCAGTATGCAAGCTATGAGGGTTCTCCGTTCTCAGACCAGTCAACACCTCAAGTGCGATAGTCTCGAATCGGGACAAGCGACATCTTCCCACTCAGCACTTGCTAGCGATGGGACGCACTCCTCGAGTGCCCCGCCTAGCCGAGCAGGCTATGGTAGCCAGGCAATGGGCCCAGGAAAGGAGAGTAGGGATAGGAGTCAGAGTGTCAAGGCCTTCCTCGACGGCTCTGAGTCCGGACCTCATCCGAATGAGGAGGGCAACCATGTGGACGCGGTTAGCGAAGATGACGTTGAAGTCTTTCTGGACCCCGATACTACACTCATGTCCACCGGGGTTCCTAGCTTCCATTCACCCCATTCAGTCCCCAGCAATATTACTCCAGGTCTCGGAAAGCCTGTGGAACCTTCATCGGACAGCTACGGTGAAGTCGCTGATTTGGAAGCCCCAACCATCCATCCTCCAGAGTACACCGATCCGCTGGACCTGGGCTCTTCCACTGTCGAAGCAAGCAAACAACACCCCGGGATCATCATCGACAGCAGCGGCCTAGCGCACGTCCTCACCGCTGCAGAAGAAAGCGAACGCGATATGAACATCCAGCAGGCGGTGATGGCTAAGATGAGAACGGGCACCATTGCTAATGCCAGCACGCCACACCTCCCAGTATACACTGAGTCAACGGACAACGTTTCCAATCTTCGCCCCGGGTCTAACGCCTCGAGACTGAAAACCTCCTGGTCAACAATGAGCAAGGCAACGAGCCGGAAGCTCAGATCTCGAGGAACTGAGGACGTGCCCACCAATGAGAAAACAGTCTTCCGCAGACTAAAGAACCTGTTCTCGAAGCGCAAACCCGTGAACGTTGTCCCGCCGGTAGGCACCTCTTGATGATATAGATAGGACAGATACTTCTTAGGCCCTGGATGGCTTTATTTACACATAATTGTTACGGCTTTCGGTGACAATACGACATTATCCCTTAAAACTTACTATCTTGTTTCAAGACTTAGAGAGAGATCCGGTGTTGCTGTGTAGCATCGCTCATCCTCACATTCCTGACATATATCTAAACACTTCTCATACTTATCCATATTGGACCTGTCTGTTCCTCCAGTCAGCGCCTTAGCATTTGGTTTCGGTGACATGTATCTAGACCATGCAATTAATTAGCCTTATGCATAATAGCCATACATCACCTGTCAATCAATTTATATGCAGCCTTATTCCTATACAAATACTGTTACTAATGAATTGGCTGTTCCAAACGAGCTAGGAAATTGACATATGATGTATCTATTTTCCCAAAGTACGAAGTAGTAACTATATATGATCCACCTGAGCCGGAAGATATGTAGATATAATTGTAAATAATTGATGATATTGGAAAAAAGCATACATGAGACTCAATTCTTACCCAAGTCAACGAGAGTATTCTCTTCGCTTAAATGCATAACATGACTAGTAATACATGCCACAAGGCTGAGACCTTATGCATTGTTTCATTCAGGTGGATATATATTAGGTAAGTCAGCCTAGCCTACCAGTCATCTACTTAGTACTGTACTCCATGGTAACCCAGCAGGGATTGGTATCACATCTTTATGATCATATTAACATGGAAATCGCTCATACATCCCTTCCCACAATAGAATATACAGTAAACATCCCGCCAAACGAGCAGACCGCGAGTGTCAGCTTGTGAGCTTGTGGGCTTGTGGGCTTGTGTATTTTTTTCATGGGCGACTTCACGGTTCAGAGAAGCAATGTCATATATCTATTACAAATGTATGAGATCCGTGGTCTTCTCTCTCTTGTCCGCGGTCGTCGGCTTGGGCATAGCCCTCATGAAACCTCCTCTAAGCATGGTTGTTACAGCAGTCACTTGCAATGGCTTTAGCACTAGCGGGTGCAACAAGGATCATAGGTCTTCTGTCAATCGAGGGACAGATTCATGCAGCTCTCAAGATCCAGGCGAAAGGGCCATGGGCAACCTTTCGCAGGCTATCTGACCTGACGGATCATGTATGTTGCCTCGGGTCTAAGGAGGTACTCTGGTCTCTGTATTTTCGTAAATATCATGGGGATGAAGTTGATGTTCGCAAAAGTAGTAAAGCACTACCAGCTTAAAGGCTACCGAAAGCAGAGCGATCAGCAGCAAGTGTGGCATCCAGAGGTTAGAATCTAGAGAATAGGATTTTGGGATTGAGGTTGGCGGTTGCGCCTTCAGATTCTTTCATGCCATTGCGCAGTATATTATCCAGTCCTGTTGTAATTCACCCGGCCTTTACTAGTGGTTGTGCAGGTGTTCTCTGCGCTCCAGAGAGCATGCATGGACATACAAACGTCAAATTATTACAAAGCACAATGTTGACCCTGCCTTCCAGAGCCTTCCGACATAATTGCCACGTTCTTCTCCTCTTCCACTGCTCTCCTCCCTCTCTCCATCTCACATCTCACTCATGTCTTCCTTCCATCTCACATGTCCTTTCGCATCAATCCGCCCCCCCTTATCGTCTTTCCTTCCGCCCAACCCTGATCCCTCCTTTTTAAGCCACCATCCCGAGCTCACAAAGGTAATGACGCTGACTCACGCTTTCGGAAGCTGCTATTGCAAGGCGATGTCAGTACGAAGTGAATAATGGAAAATATCTCCACTCACTCAGCTCACTCAACTCATCTCGCTCTCTTCCCTCTCTCCACTGTCCAACGTTCCCCTGAGCGTCTATAAAACTCTCGTGTCGTATTCATCAAGGCGATATGAAAAGAAGGAGAATGTCCTATAGCAATGGTTAGTGTAAATCGGAAACTAAGGGTCCTTTCATCTCACAGGTTACTACCATATACACCGAGTACCGTCGGCTAACTCGCCAAGTTGATTTGAAAGAATGAAACGATATCCTACAGCAAAAGTCAGTATATATAAGAGACACAGCGTCCTTTCGCCTCACAGTTTGATGTCGTCTTCACTGAGTTTCTCCAGATCGAACTGGTCAACGTGATGTAAGAGATGAAACCATATCCTACAGCAACGGTCAGTATATAGTGTCAGAAACAAAGGGGCCCTTTCACCTCACAGATTGATGCCGTATACGCTGAGATTCGGCAAACTCGTCAGGTCGATGCGGTTGGTCCTAGACAAACGGCCAGCATTGATCGAAAAGAAGGGACTTTCCCACCCGCCCGCCATACCCACCCTGTAACCCATCCGACCCCCCTCTTCTCTCCCCTATCCTCCTCTTCTTCCACCTCCCAACTTCACTTCCAGCTCCACAACACCCACCCGTTCCTCACCGCCCTCTCCGTCCTCCTATCCCCCGTCTTCCACCATCCCCTCCGCTCCCTCCGCCGCTCCCCCTCTTTCTCCCCATCCACCTCTTCCTCATTCTGACCCATTTCCACGTCACGCCTCTGTGATGGGGGCATTGCACGTAGCTTCCTGATGTGGTGGCTCTTGATCCATAGCTCCAGATGGAGCCTCACCGCAAAGGAAGCGACGCTGCAAATCATGACCAAGAAGAACGCGAGGAACAGCCACCAAGCGTGGCTGGGGTCCAGCTTCTGCCAAAACGAGAGTGTGGCGTCAGCATCTAATGCCTCTGCCATAATATCTATCAAAAAAAAAAAGAAAGACAAAAAAGCTATCTAGAAGTGAGTGTGGGGGTAATGAACGAGTGGATAAAAGTGATATCGCAAAGAGTGACTTAATGCTGTGTGAAACGAGCGTTGTCAAACGAGCAACTGATGTCGAGAAGAAGAAGAGAGATGAGAAGAAAAGAGAGGGGATTCGAAGTCTAAGAAGATGTTTTGGCTGCCGTCAAGCAAGCCATTGATATTCTTTGAGGAAGGTACGGTCTGGAAATGGAAAGCACCCTATGATACTACCGAAGTACCTGCCAACCTAACGTCACAGAGTCAGCAGGGAAGGCACGCAAAACCGAAGGGAAAAGTGCGTTAGAACGCGTCACTAAATCATACTTTTGTACGACTGCGCTTTACTTTGCTTTGCTGTTTAGTTGCGATCAGCTATGACGACGACATTCCGACGTCGTAGCGTGCGCTCTTCGTGGTTTACATGTGTCTACAGCGAGTTTGAGAAACTCGACGGCGTTCTGAGCCATACATATTCTCTGCTCCAGACGGTGAAGTACCTGCATAGCTAGCATCTACACGGCGGGCTAGATCAGGCATACCTATGTGAGTTGTATTGGATTCACTCAAATACCTAGGAACACATAGCAGGGAGAGCAGGATGGGGAGTATAGAACCCCCAGAATTGAATACAGCAAGCACACTCCGCCGTGCAATGACTATGCACCTTGATGATTACCTTTCCCGAGTCCCTGAACCTTGGCCGTTGATATTCCAACAGAACCTCCTCGCAGCATCCACAGGTACGGCTACAGCAACCCCCCCGATCAGCACACTTCATCCGGCCTTCAACCCATTTAAACGTCCGGCCAGCGTCGTTTCGACGCCAGCGTGGAACCATAGCATATAAGGCCCACCAACTCCTGCTATCCGAGAGCTTTTGGCTTATTGCCTCCAAGCGAGCCCGATTCTTACAAAGCTCTTCGCGCAGCTTGGCCAGATCTCGTTCGAGATTCTCTGGGAATTGGCTCGAGTAGGACGGTGGGACATCTGCTGCCTGCGTCGCTTCATGGCAAGCACTGCACATCTCCTCCTGATACTGGCACTGCTTGCACCGTCGTCGCCGGAATTGCTGTTGCTGTTGTTGCGCCCCCGCCATCTGTTTCTCATTCTCTAGACGACACTGGCGCTGTAGAATGGCAAATCCTAGCGCTTCCTCATCATTGTACTCGGTTATCCATTTCTTGACTGGATCTTTTGGAGTGCCATCGCCAATTCGATCTCTAATCTCCTCAAGGCGTTTTTTGTAGTAGTATTCGCATCTGGGCTCTCCCCGAAGCCAGGACCAGAATCGCATCTTGGATGGTGAGGGTGATCAGTGATGAGTGATGAGTGGTGATTGTGATGAGGATGGTGGTAGTGATGAGAGATCAGCAGAAATAATCTGGAAAAGCTAGAGAAAGGTCACACAGCAGATATTTAAAGCTACTACACTTGATGATGATGATGTAGTAATGACTGGGAATCTGATGCGCACAGAGGTCATATATTAGCACATAGACTTATTTACTGACGAACAATTACAATGCGCTAATCTTTACCACTATAATATTTGTAAGGTAACTTCTTGTATTGACGTTGGCATGATTAGATAAAGTGGTTTGCGTTATTCTTGACATAGCTAATTTTATGCTCCAGCAAGTTCATTCCACGAGTGCTATAGACAGCATTAGTGATTTAGAAAGTCTTGGAATCCTTCTTCGCTGCTGTCATCAGCCGACACCGACACTAAAATGTACCCTTTCTGGTGCTGACTGCACCCCGATCTGGGATGTTTGCTAACAATGATTGAGGACGTATGATACCAAATACGCAAAGAAACGATATTTCAGGACTTGGACAATTGGTAATTTGTTGCTGTCCCATCTGATGCTAGATACAAAAGCAGGACAGGAATGCAAGAGCAGAACGCAGGGGGAGAGAATGATGCTTGATGATTCCCCTAGGGCAAGGTGTCCGTTGCATCTGGAACAATCAAAGCCTTTGCATTCGATGGGCATCCTTATATTATGGGAGTGCTTGTCTCTAGGCAGGCCATCCGTACACCACTTAAACTGAATGGACCATCGTGTATCCCTTTTTATGCCCTTCAACGGTCATGTGTTTACCGAATGTTTAACGTTAGTGAAAAAGATGTCCTCCGTCGAGCTAGTTCTAAATATCTCTGTCCTCGTGAGTATGTAGTTACTTATATTCCTCATCAAAGGAAAGAAGCCAGTGCATGGAAAAGCTCGATGAAGGCTGCATTTACAGGACCTTCATCAGTTCATTTACCTCCCACAACATATGCAGAGTTTTCCGTAGCATTAGCACCAGCTTGAGAAAAAAACCCGGTTAGTCACTGTGACTACCTGATATGTAGCATGCCTGATTGTATGTCTGCCCGAGATTGTAGCAGATTTCTCGCCTGGGTGTTTAGGAAAAATCAGACGAGATGCCAAACTCGGCATTGACCGTGAGGTCTTGCTTCTACATTCAAGCCCGACACTAGGTTGGGCCATGCGCTTAGACTTTTGCCTACAACCTTGCAGACGAAACTGTGTCATGTGCAAAATTTGCACGCTATACCATAGAGTTCCCTTTCGTCCGATTGGGACGCATAGCTTTCCTTTTGGAACACGTAGCAGCGTGTCATATATGATCTTAATTTGTTGGACTATCCGCTATCTTGTCACCCATATGACATAGATCGAGACCATTAACGATATGTCGAAATGTGTTTCTCCATGCCCAAACAGCAATGAGTGTCACGGTCTGGCCTAGATGTCTTTCCTTCTCCGACTACGAGAAGCGTATCATATTATCCGGGACTTTCTTGCCTGCCTCTTTTATGATACATGACTTGTAATCACCGAAAAATATATACTCTCCTATCCTGCCGTGCAAAAGTCTCTTTACCCCACCCATAGCCTGTCCTATGAGCTGGGAAAACCAACCCTGCACGCCATGCTCATCACCAATATGAAGCCTGCTCATAGGACAGGCTATGGGAGAGTACCGACAGTGGCTTTTGGACGTCGACGACAGATGTTAGCCATTGGCATGGAGATAGTGTTGCTCCACCTCTTGCATGAAGTTAGGCCATTATTCCATTTTGGCATTGAGTAGATTCTGAGAAGAAATGCAAGAAAAGTCCTCGTATCAGGCTTATTTCTGCCTCCCGGAAGGACAATCTTCTCTCCCCTATCCTACTATCCTCATTTTACTTGTCTGAAAGTGCATAGCCGCTGGCTGGGAATGGGGCATAGAATTAAGGGCCTGGGGGTGTTGTGGTATGGGCATATACCTAGGCGGATGGGTATTATATCTCTATAAGGACGTTGCAAATCGCGATCACAAAGAACACGAGGAACAGCCACAGAAAGTGGCTGGGATCTAACTTCTGCCAAAATATAAGTTTGGCGTCGATATCTTTGGCTTCAGCCATACCTTTCAAAAATGAAAGCAAAAAAAGCTCTATAATAGACGAGGTGGGAGAATGATCAGGACATATCAGCGTGGAAACTGAACCCTGACGCAATTCTCTTCTGTTCAGGTGTCCAGAGATGATAGAGAATTGGATTTATAATATGTTATTATAAAGAGTTATTCCACTGTTTTTCTTCGGAATGAAACCATTATCATTCATTATGACCAACGTGGTCTGAGGAACGTAGTAGGATGAGAAAGATAGTAAGATATCCCAATATCCTGCAATGACTTATCGCAAAAAAGTGGAAGTTCAAATTGCTTGTCAGGGCCAGTTTATATCAGTGTAAGGAAAGTACCATGGTAATGATGGCTAGACCTCAACTCTTTACCAAGTCCATGTATCGTCCGGTGTCATCGAGCGATCGCTCTTCGTGGCAGGATGGGTCAAACCCCAGAAATACCAGGAACTCGGAGTCCACGATTTCTTCTCAACGCCTTCGTAGGCTAAAAACCACCCAACGAAGTACCTAAATAAGAGTCAAACTGATCAGCTTGTAGAAGACCAAGGCGAGTACGAGGCTTGTCCAGGTTGACACTAACAGTGTCGACGTTTCCGCGTTCCAAACTAGATTATGGCAGGACCCAGGAGTAGGGTCAAATCCCCATCCCAATAGCTTCATGCGGCCTTCCTTGAACTTCTCGCGAATGGCGTCTCTCTCAGATCGCTCTAGTGTCCAAAAGACCTTGGGACCACGGGCATCTCCGAGCAGGATGCCTGGCACAATCTCCCACACAACGTATATGAGGAAGCCGCCTGGCACGCAACCACTTTCGTCTTGCTTGGCCACTCGTTCTTCTAAGAGACGCGGTACAATGAGAGGCCGCTTCTTCGGAAGTGACCTGTACACCTTTAGCTCAACTGGACACCATGACGTATTAGCTTGCCGAGCTCGCATCCTGGCCGGCTCGGCTTCCGTGCCCCCGTTCATTATCTGCTTATAGATGCGCATATACGCCTTAGTGCGCGAACCTTTCTTCTCAACAAGGAGGCGTATCGCTGTCCAAGAGGGCCCAACCCTAGCGAGGTGGTCATCGTGGTCGTGTTGGAGGGTGTGCTCGCTGATAGCCTCCTGGACAACCCATTCGTTATTTAGCTTTATCTTTGATCCTGGACCAATTTCTTCCTGGGAGAACCACTTTGAACGCATTGTTGCTTTAGACTTATTCCAAGGCATGATCGGAAAGACCTTTCAAAATATTACTCTGCTTTTCGCGATGGAAACTCAGTCTCTGCAACATGTTATCTGTGGGACAGACTATAAGCATTTATTAGACTTAAAACGATGCATTACCTAATTGTGATACAGCCCTTCGGAAACTTAACCCAGGCGACAAAGTAGTAAAGTTGAAATGGTATCGGCTCATCAGTATCTGCCGAAAGCCCCTAGTGGCCGTGCAAGTTCCGACGGTAGGCCATAATGACATAGTAATAGTAAGTTTACTATGTCATTCCCATAGCCGAGATCGAGTTATGAACTTACTTATCATTAGACCCTCTTCGCAATCAAGGCAGCTTGGCAGCGGAGGGCAAGTACGTTCCAGGCCTGGGTGTCCCTGTTGGTCGTGTGCAAGCTCGAGGGTCTCGTGGAGCAGCCCGTGTGATACACAGAGGCTGTTATCAGAACAGTATAACAAGCCATCAACTTCGCGGAATGGTAAAGTGAGTGGGTTAATAGAGGCGTCATTCCCACGTAGGACCTGTAGGACGCCTGACCATCGTTTATCGGTCTCGTATCCTTGTTTGACCTTCTGTTCGAAGTCCGGGTGTAGCTGGACTGTGCAGATCGTATAGTCACCGTGGTGAACCGCAACCGGTCTGTTCGTTGGGTCAAGGTCGGTACCGAAGAGAGCTTCGAGAGAGTAAGGTTCCGGGTTCATCATCAATCGCTGGAGTATCTTTCTCAGCCGATAGGAGATGGGGTAACATCATTCTCCTTAGCGAGAATATGCTTGCTTCGAGATTCACAGCTGTAGAGAACCATTTCGGCCACACGATTGATACAGACCGGCTGCCAAAATTCTAGCTCTTGCCCGCGCTGCATGCCCTTCATTCGGGGGTTTGTCTGATCAACAATACCCAGGTTCACGCAGGCCTCCTCATGATTATCGAATTGATACTCCTGGACATATAACCACTTTCCATGCATCGCAATCCTCTCATAGTCCTCCATGGTTTGTTGGATGAGAATATCTTTTGCATCCGCTCTGGTATCGAATGACCACTGAAGATTCTCTGCGATATGATATGCGCTTGACTCGAAAGCGCAGTTGTCCAGCATGTCTGAGATATCCACTGCTCTCTTGGCCTGCTTGCGTTGTCTCGGTGTAGTATCACCGGCATCTTCTACCGCTGAAGCAGATATACAGTGCCATCCTTCTCTCTAAGGTGTTGGGTGATTTTGAAGGCATTGTAGCTTCATAGCGGACCTTTCACGTGTGTTGGGTCTACTTACCGATTTTCCGGATTATCAGTTTCCTTTTCCTTGTGACATCAGTATTTCGGTGGATGGCATTCCTGGTGTTCTCCTTCCAACAAACTACGAGTTGTAGCGGCAACTCCAGCTTGCCTCACCCGTGATATTGCGATTGAAGACGGGAGGATCAAATACAAGGGATAATGGGGCGCATAACTTCTGAGTTTGTAGCTCAACTTGATGTGCAGTATATTTCGGTTGCTGCTCGTATGAGAAACGGTGGAGATCGTATGTATAGTCAGACTTGGAGCCAGTGAAATTCCACAATGGGTGTCTTTGCGTTGCCTTATCAGTGACATCACTCAAGGGTTATATTTCCCACTATCTGATATTTCGTGCATAGTAGAAGCCAGAGACAGAAGGCCTAGATCTTACCATCTCGTCTGTTGCTAAAATGACAGGCTTGCTTCAATGGTTAGATGTGCAAACAGAGACCATGAAATCAACAGACGTGACTATTCATGGATTAGTATAAAGGCCGGGGGGGAATATCAGCTCCGATCTTAATAGTGGACCCAATCGGCAGCGCAGAGCCCTGCGTTCGGCGGATCATAAGTCGCTGCAGTATTTTCCTCAAGCGATAAAATGGTATTGATGTGCTTGGTGACAAACTCCCGACTGCAGAGCAACCGCTCGTCCTCTGTCCCGGGAGGGGCCCCAACAATCTGGCGTACACGGCTGTTGGTGAATATTTAAACTTATGATTGCATCTGGATCATGGAACGCGCGCATGTTTCCGCGCATTCCGGGATCAGTGAAATGGGAACAACGTTGGACCACCATGGCCTAGTGGTGATAGTGTAACATTGCGATGTAGATTTGCCAGTCCTCTCCTTTCACCATTATGGTGTTCTCGGTGGGAAATAGCATAAGCTATTACTGTTAGCATGTTTCTTCTGATTAAAGTTAGAAAGATATTACATACAGAATTCTTCAGTTCTTCGTCTCTCCACTGGTTGTCGTGTGCCACAATGTCCCAGAGTTCACTAGGAAATTTGATAGTAGCAACATTCTTGTCTTCCTTGCTCAGCTCTGCATGTGGGCTGATATTGTCCTCTGGAAGTTCACAATTCACAAGGTGTTCTCTTACTTCGCTTGACCACTTGAATGTTATAGGACTGATTGTTCTCCATGACCTGAAATATCTCCAGTATCTTCAAATATGAGTGGTTTTCGCAATGTCCAGCTTTCTTACCCAGAGACAATGGGGAAAATATGGGCAACCTCAACTTTGATTGGATCAACCACCCTCTCGTTTCAAATTGCTCCAGAAGAATTTTGTTGACTCGACTGTTATATCCCGTAAGGAAAACGGGTAAACATGCGCAACGTCACAATAATCACCCGGTGTCTGTGTGATTACACACGAGACACCTCTTTGCTTGCACTTTACAACTGTCAGTATAGGACCAGGAACCTCTTTAGATCTCTTACAATCATTCTCGCTGCCTCGTCTCTTCTCAACCTTTTAGATGGGACTGGGGACTCAATTGACGCAGCGGGACGCTTGTTCTTGTTAGGAGTATTTATAGGAGTACTAAACGGGCTATCCATTGGAGATAATTTCACTTCCCGGGGCTCCTCAGAGTCTGAAAGAGCTGTCTGTAATGCCAATTTCGGTTTCGACATCTTAGTCGCCGAATAGAGCTCTGTGGCTGCACCAGAAACAACTGGACGGCAAGAACCTAATTTCTTATTCGTAGGACTGGTTCTCTCCTATGTTTCTGAAGGGATAGTTTATCGGGGTCATTTTGCTAGATTTTGGGCAGCAGATATGAAACTCTACCAGTCTTCTAGTTCGCAATAAATAGCATCATTAGTAAACACCGTCAACACTGTGACCGGCACTTGTGCCTTAATTAGGCTTGGAGATCTCGATACATCTTATGGCTTTGGAATGTGTCCACCTCTAGTGGAAAGATGCGGTACGATAGAAGACACTGGAGTTGATGGGGTTGAGAGACGTATGGTCGGTCTCATACTTCCTGTCATAGATCATATGATTGTAGTATATTTTTTGAAGCTATAAAGCTAATGAAGCATACAGATGTTCAGTATTTTTAGTATGATCATATTCCCAACCTCATCAAGATGCTTAGTTGTTTATGTAATAGATGCAGCAAGGCCAGGAAGGTCAGGGTGTTGGAAGAAGAGAAGAAGAAGCTTCGGGGGGAAAGAAGGGCATTTATATACCTCTCCGAGTACGGTGAATCTTCAGGCAGAGGTGATAGGGCTTCATTCCCACCCCTGCCTGATGATACTGTTTTGCCAGTTCAGTCGCTCTTCAAGGTCACTGCCCAGCAATAGGAGTTTGTAGCAGGCACAGCAGTAGAACAATGATCTAAGTCTAACAAGGTCTGATTATATACTAGCGGCTAGTCCCAAGTTCTAAGAGTATGTGGCTGTATTCATCTCAATCCGCCTTATACTTCTCCAACACCTCGTCTCCTTCATCATCCGACTCTCCCAGTTCATTCAGAGCATCCAACGCAGCATCCAACTCCTTCCCATTCCCTAACTCATCCAAAACGAACAACAGATTCTTCGTCTTGACAATCGGCCCGTCTGTCGTCTTGACCAGCATCGAAAGAGGTCTCGGTGCCATTACTGATCTCTCCACCTGCAGATACAGCCCTATTCGTGACCCAGTGCCCGAGAGCGACGTAGAAGGCTGCGAGTCAGCCAACGCAAGCAGGCCATCACCCTCTTCTGCCGAAATACCCTGCGGAGGCTCGTCAGAAACCCTATAAACCAGCGTCATTCGAAGCCCGAGAGGCATTTCCTCAGCGACGACGACCTCTCTGGCCTCGTGGTGAGAAGTTATGCTAGCTTTGCATTTTGTCCCGGAAGGGCCGGGACCGGAACCTGATGCTGGGCGAATTTGGATTTCCGTAGTACTAGGACCGGTTTGGTTCTCGAAAAGAAGGTTTTCTGGATCGTTTACTAATTGGGGCCAGAATATATGTGCTAAGGTAGAGTGGTTGTGGAGGATTTGTTGGACGTCTTCTAAGTTGAGGGTGGAGGGGATGTGGTAGTATGATGTCTTAGCGTGTTTGGTAGAATAGAAGACTGATGGGTTGTTAAAATCTGGAATACTTCTTATGACCCACCGAAGCTAATACATCAGGATGAGAGGGAGATCTGGGGGTGGATTGACTAACAGGAATTCATGGTGATGGCGGGGATGCCAGTGACGGGGAATTTGGGCTAGCTTTGATTATGATACCAGGCTTCGGTCTCTATTTTTTTATTGTCGGCGGAAGAGTCGGAAGCATTTCGGATGTATGCGGTTATATAGAGATGTATTTGGTGGTTGCAGGTAATTGTTTAGAGGTCGGGAAAAAGTATAGTAATTGGGAAAGATGGAACAACGTTCCGTGGGACAGACGGCGGGAATGCAGTGACAGGCGGCTCTAACCGACTCGAGGAGTCCCTGCCAAGAGGAGGGGAGAGAAGCACATGAAGAAAGAATATGCAGTGAACCGTAGCAATGCAGACGGACGAAGAGACGGTGACGGATTTCACTAGTCCGGTGGGTCTGAAATCTTTCCACTTTGAGCCTGAAATCGTCACATTTTCTTACAGACGTGCCGCGTATACAACAGTCGCAAATCTCTCACTTTGATCTCATCTGCGGCTCTAATTTTAGGGGAAAACCTTCAGATATTTACATGGTGCGGGTCCAGTCGACCTTCCGCATCGATATCAGTGACCTCCCAGTGGATGTCTGTCTTAAGCATAATGCCATCGCCATCATGTAATACATCTTGGCTCTCTCCTAGCCGGCTTTCGCTCATGCGCTGGCGGGAGACTGCGCGGAATGGCGCGCTGAATCTCTTCGCATTGCTCTGTCCTGAGTAGGTTGGATTATGCGCGTAGGACGGGCCCAGCACTCGTGGGAGGTAGCGCTTCACAAAAACATATAATGCTGGAGTGGAGCCGCAGAAAATGGCTACACGTATGTTTAGTCCTAGGCCTGACACGTCAGGGATGGAAAATGGTACGTACCCACGTAGGCTTCGATGCCACACCAATTAAGCGAGGCAGCCAGCACGTATGTTTCATCTGAATTGTTGGCTAGTTGCAAGACGGTGTTGTATCTCACGCAAGCAGCTGTATTGGTTAGTCGGGAAATGGTTCTAGAAGAAAAGAAAGAGAAAGAAAATAGGGTAGTGGAAAGGAGGGGGAAAAGCGGGAGAACAAAGCAAAGAAAGAGAGAGCGAGAACGAGTGGAAGGAGTGAGACCAAAGAGTGAGAGGAACGAGAAACATCAATGACATGAACGGACAACTTACCAGCTATAGACAAAAGGCCTACACTAAAAACCCCCAATACTGCGATCTTCTTTCGCTGCAAGATGATGATCAGTAGGTAGCAAAAGAGTAGGGAAGAGTATCTTTGTGCTTACCAAAGAGATACGAACACGCCATAGCATCGGAATGGGAACAGCCCAGATGAGAATATCCATGACAATGACGAGGATGCCATTAACTTCATAGAACTTCTGCTGGGACGCCGTTGACATGCAATGTCCTGACTTGGCTGAATTCCAGAATTTAGAAGGTGGTATGCAGGAGATTGTATCAACGAAGAAGCTTGAGATTGATACTCCCAGAACTATGAAGATAACGGAGTACACAGGCCATAGCATGAAACGTCGTGTTTCAAGCCGGAGATAGAACCATAGGAGAGATAGCTTGATGAAACACAATCCCAGCACGTAGAGGAGGCGTGTAGCCCATATACACTGATTATAGTCAGCAGGGCATACTCTTCCTAGGCCTGGGGCTATAACTTAGGAGCTGCTACCGCCACACCGGCCAGGCTGCCTCCATATACCAGTCTTCGCTCATGCCACACCCTCTGCCTAATGTAGAAGGCAAGGCTTGTTTTCTGTAGATACAGAAACACTTCACCTTCCCATTCATTTCAGATCCTGCCTTGGGTCCCGATCTAGCAGCCAATTTACCAATATGATACCTGAGGCTCCATGTAGATGCCTTAGACAACAATTTTCGCACAGACGGCGACATACATAAAATGGCAGGTAGGGCAGGTGGAGGGTGTGGTATGAGCGAAGGCTAGTATGTGGAGGCAGCCTGGTCGGTGTGGCGGTGGCGGATCCCTACAACTTGCCTTGAACATAGGAATCCGATCTTCGATAGGAACATCTGAATCTTATTTTCACATTAGAAGGTGTAAATGCAAGAGAACCAGTAAACGGCGTACAGTGTTTGCCAACGCCATAATATGCGGCTGCCACAGTCAATAAGTCAATTACATAACTCTTTACGTGCCTGGACCTACCCACAATCGATGCGATGGAGAGACCGTAGGTTAAGATCTGATTGAAATGGTCAACACCTGATGGAGCATTGGGCCGTCGCTGTATGCTTACAGTTCCGATTACCATAAGGACTGCATGTCGGTTAGCGAATATGGGAGGACATTGATACGGTATTCGACTCACCGTCATCAGCTCCCCACGCGCGCAGCAAAAGTGTCCTGACATAGACGCGAAGGGCAATTACGGCCGAGGTAAATGCCATAAATGCTACCCCAATCCCAAGCACCGTCGTTTGCTGCCCAGTGAAGGACGTACCCTTTTCCAGCGATCGCGGCAGCATCTCGAGACCTTGCAACGACAGCCAGTGCTCAAGAAGCCTCTCTCGCGATCGGAGTGCGACATTTCCTTATATCTTATGTCGGCTTAGACCAACTTTGGAGCAAGAGAAGCGGCCCATTACATTCGCCTAACTAACCAGGGTCATGCCGGTAGGATTAATGTTCCAGACTTCTGTGGAGGAGGAGGTCGGATTGACAGGAGTGCCTCAAGCTTTTGATTGGCCTGTGTGATGAAGTAAGTACAAGGATGCTGCCATGGTGTCGCCAGCTACTCGGCCGGAAGGGAAAGGATCACCTTTTTCCAATAATACTGATTGCCTCGGAGTTCGGGTTGGACAGAAACAGCCATGTGCCGATTAAATGAAGGCAAGACAAGGTATAACCAATTAGGCAAGAGATATATCCAGCCTTAGGTCCCACAGTAAGCACGGGTGAATCGCATCGAGGGCTAAAGCAGGAGCAAGGAACTAGATGCACTTTTAGTATGATTGTCGATGGATAGTTTAGTGGGAAGCCCACAACGGGATGGCTTGATCCCGGTCCTATAATGGGCCTAGCGCCCTGTCACGGGGCTTAGCTTCCTTTCCGGTCTCTGATGTCTCTCCCTTTTCTTGTTCTTTCCATCCCTCTCTCAATTTACCCATTGTCTTCTTTGAGCCTAGCATTGGGCTTGGGTAGAAATGCAGTCTCAGATACTTACACAAGTTTTTCTCTGAAAGAAAGGGGCATGTCTGGTGACAAAAGAAACTCTTCGTGGGCACATCTGGAATTCAGCCTACAATCTCGAAGGTTGCCATAAGGCCCAATGGTTCTCGGCCGTGAACCTAAGAGCCCACATAATGAGAGCATCACTGGTCACCGGACATGAAGTGATTCCACATTATTAGCCAAGCTGAGGCAACAGACCGTTCGTTGCACTTAGTGGGGCAAAAGAACGGCCTCAAGTTGGTGCGCACACGGGTGGATATGAACACCAATCTATGACCAACTAGGCATAGGAAACTTGGAAGCGGTAGCTGGCTACGGACGAACATGTGCACAGTCGATCCCATCATTAATCTAACTCAGAGGCCGGACCATGTCTGGGCATCTCAAGGCTTTCTGGTATCTCAGTCAAAGCCTTGGAATCAGCGACTAATACGACGTGTTAATTAGTTTTAGTCTTTCGAGGCTATATCCACTAACAGCCTCCGTCCGGTGTTATAATTGCCCCCGTCACTTATCAAAGCACTCTATAATAAAACGGGATCCAGTTATTACTGAATCTGGCATTTCGCCTATCGAAGAATGATGGGGTCATATGCCGCCCGCTAGATTAGGATGGCACAGCGGAGCGTACGACCAATCCCTTACGGCTCTGTCATCCTTGACAGCTGGCCATTCCCGGTCTTCCTGTTCCACCTAACATTGACTTATAATGATAAAAGGGGCGTGGGGGAGATATTTTTCTCCCCCTCAAGTTGTATCTCATTTTATACCTTAGGCGTGGTTCACAATGGGCAGTATCTCTGGCGACAAAGTCGCTTTGGTTTTCGGCGCAAGTGGGATATCCGGCTGGGCTGTGACTAGAAGCTTGCTGGAATATCCAACTCGCAGCACTTTTTCACGGGTGATCGGCCTGACGCATCGGCCCCAAACGCGGGGACAATTAGGCCTCCCCGATGATCCGAGATTGGAGGTGTATTCAGGCATTAACCTACGGGATAGCCTGGATGAAGTGATGACCCAAATGCGTGAAACAATCCCGCACTTAGATCAGATCACCCATGTATACTATCTCGGTAAGACATCAGTTATTGGCAGTTGACCGCGTAGGGTATGGTGTGAGTATCTCTACTAACATCTCAGCGTACTCCAATGCTACCGCATACACCGAAAATGTGATGGATATCAAGCACATCAACGTTTCCATGACCTACAATGCTGTCCATGCCTGCGATACACTGTGTAAGAACATGGCCTTCTTCGTGCTGCAAACAGGTACCAATGTATGATATACCCTGCAAATATCGAGTCAACAATAACCTAACTGAATAGCACTACGGCGTCGCGGTTTTTCAACACATCGACAAGCTCACCTTCAATACACCTCTGAGGGAAGACGCCCCGCGTGTCCCATCCCCATACGGTGACGAGATTTTCTACTATGGCCAGGTTGACTTGATCCGAGAAGCAGCTCAGGGGAAGAGCTGGGGCTGGTGTGAAGTCCGTCCAGATCAAATCACAGGTATGGACACGTCTACGGTGAGCCACTAGCCTACATTGGGCTAACAAAAGGATGCCCAGGCCATGTACCAAGCACCACAAGCATGACCACAGTCGAGCCAATAGCTCTCTACCTCTCTCTTTACCGTTACGTGTACGGCCACGGCGCTACTGTTGCGTTTCCAGGCACGCCTACCAATTATATCTACACGTTCACAGATTCATCTCAAGACATAATCTCGCGAGCAGAGATCTATCTGTCTGTCGTGAAACCACACGAAGCGAACGGGGAAGCATTCAACATCGCAGACACGGCCACCCCAGGCCCATGGTACGCCAAATGGCCTATCCTCGCGGAGTACTTCGGTCTGAAGGCCACAGGACCAACGCAGGAGGACTACGCAGCGATTGATAAGTGGTGGTACGACCACCAGGACGACTACGATCGCATGTGCAAGGAGTACGGGCTACAAAAGCGGGATATCGGACCAGAAACCTGGCTCTTCGTCTACGCTGGGTTCAAACTATTGGACCGAAATCGCGAATTTAGTCTGGACAAGATCCGTAGCTTCGGGTTCACGGAGGAGAGATCAGTATGCAAGGGCCATCTCTTGGCGTTTGACCGTATGGCCAAGGTTGGGGTGATTCCAACTAGAACGCAGCTTTTGCCGTCGTCTGGTGTACAGCCGAATTTGTAGTGACAGCACACTTTACTTGATTTGCGCTAAAGGATATGCTATGAACTTCACGGAGTATCTGTTTTTCCAGAATTGGTTTTAGCCTATTCAGTTGTTACTATGTTGGCCTTCCATAGGAAGTGTGGAAGATTGTATGCATATTTACCAGTGCGTAGCACTATATATTTTGGGAGACGCCATCGCCACAACAGCCACTGGGTTGCCGCCACGCCAACCTTCACTCACATCACACCCTCAGCCTATCTTAGAAGGCAAAGATGATTCCAAATAAGGTAAGACTCACTTCTGAGCCAGCAAAACTTCACCGTCCCCTCAAAGTAACCTCATTCGAATTTGATCCGAGGTCGCGGTCTCACACCTCAGGCAGTAATATAGTGCCTTAGGCATACACAATCTCCATTAGGGAGGCGGTAGGATTTCTGCACATTGTGAAAACAAACCTAGCCTTACCTTTTTAGGAAGACCCCCTGAGAACTACACCCACCACTTATCGTAATAATCTCAATACACGGTAAATTGCCCATTACAGATCGCAATGAGACAAGCAGAGCGTAGTAGTATTGAGGGAGATGGTAGAGTTTTGACCATCCTTCGCCCCCGGGGTTAAGTTCACACTACGTAGGCCGAGCTGCAACCCGAAAGGAACGAAAAGAGACAGGTGCATACTAGAGTTTCTTATTCGAGGTCCTTGCATTCCATTCCGTGAAGAAACCAAGTTTTCTTAGATGTCAGGTGATATCTTACACATTTTCGATTTCCTATTTTGGCTTAACCAGACCATGTAGATATAATATACAGCATATATAGAGAGAAGTGACGTAATAGAAGAAGAAGAAGAATAGGGAAAAGAAGGTCGATCTAGAATCCGCCTCTCAATTCCGTCAACACAGCCTTCTGCCGCGGGGTACTCATCTTCTCGAACCGATCGACGCTCATTACAAAGGTACCGCGGCCGGCACTCAGACTGCGTAGGTGTTTCAAGTACCCGACCATTTCCTTGAGAGGTACCTTTGCCGTGATGGTTCTGGGTCGGTTGGCGGTGTCGGGGAGGGAGGCACCGACGGATCCAGATTCGAATGGATCCGCGGGGGCATAGACCTTCTTCGGGTCGATGGGTGGGAGGTCTTCAACCGGTTGGGGGGACGCGGAGAGGTCGGTTGATGTAAGGGGGATTTCTTCGTCGAGGGAAACGATATGGCCGCCGCGAGAGGAGGAAATGTCGTGTACGACGGCTCCGAGACTGGCCTCGTCGATGCTGATGATCACGTTCATGACGGGCTCCATCAGGGAGGTGCCTGGGCCGGAGGAGAGGAGGTCGCGGAGAGCGGCGGAGGTGGCCAGACGGGCTGCGGAGGAGAGAGCTGCTGGGGTGGTGTCGGTGCCGAAGAGGTGTTCGGTTTGGTTGATGGTAAGGGTGACGCGGGTGTGGTGCATAGGGAAAGCGAACTGAGGGCCGCGAGCAAGGGCAGCTAGGCAGCCATTTTGGAGGGAGGCTCGGAAAGAGTGCATGTCTAGGCCTGCGGGGAGTATGGGGCTTTCCTCGATGCCTTTACGGTTGGTTTCTACCTGCAGTTCTGGGGCGAGGATGATGATCTGGTTGCCCTCTTTGGTTTCAACTGAAAGTGCGTCTTCGGGTACTGGAGGTGCGTTGTCCGGGTCGAAAGGTTCCACTACTGCCGTGCAGCCGGCTTTACCTTTGCGGCCGGCGATCTCCTTGTCGAAGATTTTGCTGGTGACAGGCGACTCCCCAAGGGGACATTCACGGTAGCCGATTTCAATACGGCCCATTGTGGCCTTAGCTTTCAGGTCATTGATCAGGCGATCCCGGGCAATCTCGAGATGGAGCTCGCCCATGCCGCTTAGAAGCGTTTGCCCGGAGTCTTCGTCAACAGTGACGTGGAGACTTGGGTCTTCACGTAGGAGTAGGGCCAGGCATTCATGGATCTTCTTCTCCTCGCTCAGGCTGTGTGGCTCGATACTGGCGAAGAAAACGGGAGGCGGCACCTGGATTGGGCGTAGTTGGAGGGTGTCAAGTGGTTCGGGTGGCGTTAATTTGTTGCCTGCGTATGACACCAGTGTATCTCCGGTTCGAGCATGCTTCAGGCCAGCCACAACGCCGATATGTCCCTCGGGAATGGAATCCACCTCGACAGCGTCATTAGCGTACATCTTGAGCAGGCGCGGTGCACGTTCAGTGATATTGAGATTGGTGTTGAATATAGCACTGTTCCGGTCCAGGGAACCCGAGTAAACGCGCACATAAACCAAGACTCCCCGCTTGGCATCGTTAACCACCTTGAAAGCAAGCGCGCAGCTCTGAAGCTTCTCGATAGCATTCTGGGATTCGGCTTGGGTGACGGACTTCTTCTTTTTCTGCTTCCCTTTGGAGGTAGCTGCTTTCTCGCTCTGCTTGACTAATAGATCGCCGGAGAGTAGACTCCGAAGACCTCCGCGGACGCCTCCGATGCTAACCTCTGGATCAGGGGTTTCGAGGGGACTGGGAAGAAGATTTGTCACGGCGTCTAGGAGAGGCTGCACACCGATGTTGCGGAAGCTAGCACCTGCGAAAGTAGGGATGATCTTTCTACCCTGTTCTTGCAAAAGACACCGGCGCAAGCTGTCTATAATGTCGTTCGGAGGGACTGCGAGGTGATCTTCGTCATGTTCAAAGAACCTCTCGATCATAGTCTCATCATGCTCGCTAAGTAGCTCAACAAGTGCTGTCCTTGCGCGTCGAATCTCCTGTGCAAGCCCTGGTTCTTCGCCATCCAACTCTTGCAGGTTGAACATTTTGACGGCTTTACCGTCGCCATCTTGCCATCGGAGACCCTGCAAATTAATCGCATCACCAACTCCAACAAAGCGACCATTTCCGCCCTCGAACCACGGAATTTGGCAGACCGCGGGGTAGCCAGCAAGCCGGGAGCTTATCTCTCTTACCGTACGCCCAAAAGCTGCACCGTCTCTATCCAGCTTGTTGATGTAGACAATCCTGGGAATACGATATGTGCTTGCTTGGTGCCATACTCGTTCCGTTTGAGCTTCGACGCCAGCGACGCCGTCCAGAATACACACCGCCCCGTCTAGAATGCGCAAAGAACGCATAACCTCAAAGGTAAAGTCCGCATGCCCAGGGGTGTCGATTAGGTTTACTGTATGAGATATGGCAGACCTTGGAGTTTTTGGATTATCCTGAGCGGCTGCAATCTGATTACCAGCTGCTTGAGGCGGCCAATGGAAGGTGATGGCAGCAGATTGGATGGTGATCCCGCGAGCGCGTTCCGCAGGGAGAAAGTCTGTGACGGTGGACCCTTCATCCACATCTCCAAGTCTTCGGGTAAAGCCACTGTAGTAGAGCATGCGCTCAGTGGTCGTTGTTTTACCAGCATCAATATGTGCAATGATGCCTATATTTCTAGTTCGGTCAAGGGTGTCTGCCTGTAATTTGGATGCAGACGATGAGAGCAACTGGATCCTAGGAAATTGACCCTTCTTGGCCCCTGGAATCAAGGACGCATTACATCCCAGACGGCTGGTAGCTACCTGGCATTGTCGTAGGCCAGTTGGCCGCACCGTCTGGTGAGAGGCGCGTAAGAAAAGAGCTGTAACCATTGGGACGGAAACTGTCTATGTAATGGGAGACAACAAATTGGCGTAATGTGGGACCTAGAACTTGACAAACATCGTCAAAGACAACTAGAAATAAGGACAATAATGTAGAAAAGAGAAAGGTCCAGCCCTTCAAAGGGTAGTGTGTGCGGAGGAGCTGGGAGTATGAATGAAGCTGCTGAAGCTTTTCCGGCAGTCCAGTGACCGGGGCTGCAGATGCCTGGCCAATCAGGCTGCATAGGCACCAACGACGTAACCTCCGAAGTCCATCCCGTTCCGCTCAGTTGAACAGTTTCCCCTCCCCCATCTCAACGCTTGCATCGGCCTTTCCTTTGTCAAGCCCGAATTCTTAAGAGTTTTCGGCATCATCCTCTTCCCAATTGTTTTTTTGAGTACCAATAGGTGAACACCAATTGATCCGCAACGATAATCATACCAGATGAGACAATACTGATGATTGCGCGCCCGCAGCGCGGTGTAGACGTGGTCCCATTAGACCAAGACAGCCACGATGGACTACTCCGCCATATCACACGATCCTGATCATCCCGCAGGTACTTCTCCTTGGGCTTCACCACGCCCGACACAAACAACCTTTCCGGCTTCCGTGACTAGCGACATCCCCCCTGCCCCCTTGCCTCCCCAAGATCCCTACAATGCCGAATCGCAGCCTACCGAAACTCCTGGGTTCCAGGAGAACGAGATTGGATCGCCTGACTTGTCTGCGCGACTGCAGGGTGCACACTTGGGTGAGCCCGGTTATGCTGATGAGCAGTCGCAACAAACTCCGCAGCAGCATGGACAACAACCTCGTTCTCAGCTCCCCGCCCGCTACCAAACGGGCCCAAGACAGAATCCCAGACAACCTGCACCTGTCTATAGAATCCAGGCGAAAGTTACGGGGCTAGAAAGAACGGGCAAGAAGGACCCTATTCTTCGATTCGATGTTCACGTGAGTGGTGCCCGTCTCTGCCTCGCCCTGCGCCTACTGACAACAGGCTCCAGACGAATATCCCCAAATTCAGGACAACGCAGTATCGAGACGTTCGTCGTACCCATGCCGAGTTTGTCAAGCTTGCGGACCATCTGATTTCGGCTAATCCGGAAGCGTTGGTCCCCGCGGTCCCTCCACCACTCACCCCTGCCGGCGCTGGAACCGAAGAGGATGAACACAGAGTCAAGTCGTCTATGCAGCGGTGGCTGAATGTCGTACTGAGCAATGAAGTCCTCACCCATGATGACGAGGTTGTCCTGTTTGTCGAGAGTGATTTCGGTTACAGTCCTGTGGTTCGGATGAAACAACCCGCAACTGGGGTTCGAAGGAAGGTCCTGAAGCAGTTTGCGCCGCCCCCCGATGACACGCCTGAATTACAAAATGCGCGTCCGATTGTGAAGATGTTCTATCTAGGAACAATGGATACTAGTCACAAGGTTGACCGTGTCGTCAAGGCTCGTCGAGGTATGCGCTAGGACGGCTCATATCTTATTATCAAGGGTACTAACATTTGGCTATCCAGGACTCGGTCTCGCAGAATCGGACTTTGGTGTTAAGCTAGGCCAGATGCACGTGCAAGAGACACACCCTGGACTGTCCAATGCATACCGGAAGTTGGGGAAGATCATCCAGACCGTCGGAGATTTCCATGCCGTCCAAGCGACTGCGGAGGCCACAACACTGGGGGATCCTCTAAGCTACCACTCGTCCGATGCCTTTATCGTCAAGGAGACTCTAACCAACCGCCACATCCTCCTTCGTGATTTGATCCAAGCTCAACAGGCCACACGTAGCAAACGCGCCGCCGCTGACCGCCTCAAAGTCAGTTCCTCCGTCCGCCCGGACAAGGTGGACGAGGCTATCAATGCCCTGGACGAGGCCCAAGGCCACGAGGACTACCTCACAAAGCGGACGCAGCGGGTCACATCGAACTTACTCGCTGAGAAGCAACGGTGGTTTGACCGGACAACCAACGACATGCTGAACAGCCTCCGCGAGTATACCCTGCGCCAGATTGAATCCGAACGGAGGACCCTTGCTACCTTGGAGAGTGTGCGACCTGATATTCGAGCAATTGACGCTTCGGGAGGACTTAGCCGTCTAGGACGTGAATCCCACCCAACTGCTCGTCGACCTAACCTTGGTTCAAGCCAAGGCCCCAAGGGAGATGCTTGGAGCGGCATACCGCGTCGCAGCGACAGCCTCGGCCGGAGCCTCAGTGGCAGTTTTGTTGCACCAACACCCACTGAAGATGACGAGGAGGTCAATGGACAGGGCACTGGGAAGGGGCGTCTGCGCTCTGCCAGTGGTGTGAGTTCGATTGTGGAGGAAGACGACGACGATCGCCTTGACGCTCGTAACGCGGCTAGTCGCCTGGCCACGAGCACTTTCTGAGCAACTGTAGATTATAGGCATGATTCTTGTGCAAGATTCCCCTTTGATGCCGGTTTTCTATTGAAATAAGCCCACCTTTGAGTTTCGCAATCCAGCCACTATGCTTTGCCGTTTATGTTGTACCATTCCCTTGAAGGTTGTGTCGGTTCAAGAAGAGTATATGTACGTCTACTTTATACAAACAATCCGTAGCCTCTCAGATATACTTTTATATTGGCACCCCGGTTCCTTGAGTGGCAGATGTGGGCCACGTTGTCAATTGCAACCCAAGTAATGTACCTGTGAGGTGTCTATGTGCAATGGTCCGAGAACTGGCCAGTTGTTGAGTTCATTGGGCTTCAGCCCCGCCCATGTACGTCATGAGGGGTAGCTGGGGTACATCCTTTGTAGTAGTGTATCCATCCCCACGACACAATATCATGATCAAAGTAGTATAGGATACCGTGAAAAGGGTTTGTGTCATGTTAAGTTTAGAGGTTCATGCCGAAAGTTCATCCTGTGGAACCAGACATATACTCCGAGCCATCTATTCCGGTAAAGACTGGAAGCATAAGGAAGCCCGCAATTGATGGGGATAGCTGCTACTTCTTGGTACCCCCACCCCCACTTTTGCCCAGGTCTGAAACTTCTGATTGATTCTTACACCTGCGAGGATCCATCTTGCCCACTCTTGATTTCAAAGCACGGCGGAGCTTAAGCTGGAACTGGCAGTTGGTCTCTCTTTGTTTTGATCAAGCTATAAAAGTCGAGCTCCCCTCCCCCACTTCTAGTAACACTCTTTCCCCAGCAATTCCTTATCCATTCTCATACCAACCTTCTTACGACTACTACGACAAGATGGCTCCCCAAAAGGTTTTCCTGTAGGTTTCCGCTTATCTTTTTACAGATGTTAGTACACTTGTTGACCGATGCTCCTCGTATATTGCAGCACCGGTGTTACTGGATACATCGGTGGAGACACCTTTTACGACGTCTACCAGGCTCATCCTGACTGGCAGTACTCCGTCTTGGTGCGCAACAAGGACAAAGCCGCTCAAGTCACCAGCAAGTACCCTAACGTAAGGATTGTACTGGGTGACCTTGACTCGGCCGATATCATCGAGGAGGAAGTCAAGAACGCTGACATCGTACTCCGTATGTTCCCGAGTCCCTGCTCACGTGCTCTTCTGTAATTTAAATGTATAACTCACGGGCCATGGTTAGACTGTGCCGACTGTGATCATGTCGCTGCCGCCGAAGCCATTGCGAAGGGTGCCACTCACCACACCCCTGACCGACCAGTGTGGTGGATCCACACTTCTGGAACCGGCATCTTGACCGTGGAGGACTTCCGTAGCAACACCTGGGGTCTGGAACGTGCCAAGCAGCATGATGACTGGGATGGTGTGGATGAGCTCCTCAACCTCCCGGCCGATTCGTTCCACCGCAATGTCGATGAGATTGTCATCAATGCTGGCAAGCGTGCTCCTGACAGTGTCAAGATTGCCATCGTCTGTCCGCCTACCATCTACGGACCCGGTCGTGGACCCTGCAACCAGAAGAGTGTACAGGCATACTGGCTGGCTTCTGCTGTCCTGAAGCGCAAGAAGGGTCTGCAGGTCGGTGAGGGTAAGAATATCTGGCACCAAATTAACGTGCAGGATCTGAGTGATCTTTACCTTCTGCTGAGTGAGGCTGCTGCTGCGGGCGGTGGCAAGGCCACTTGGAACGACAAGGGTTACTACTTGGCAGAGAACGGTCCTTTCTGCTGGGGTGACATCCAGAAGCAGGTGGCCCAGGTGGCTTATGAGAAGAAGCTCATCCCGTCCCCTGGGGTTGAGCCCTTGACCGATGAACAGGTTACTGAGATCAACCAGTTTGGACTGTATGCCTGGGGTAGCAGCTCTCGCGGTACTTCCTACCGTGGTAGAAAGCTATTGGGTTGGAACCCCCACCGCCCTAGTCTGAAGGAGCTTATTCCTGACATCGTTGACATTGAGGCCAAGGCTTTGGGCTTGCTGTGAGGGAGCTCGGAAGTTTATGTAGCCAACTACGACGTATTGATATAATGAATGACATGATAATGTTCAAGATGCGATATAGATTTTGTGAGGTGTGAACCATTACCATTGAAGCGATAGATTCTACTTCAGAACCGAGTGGTATATTGGTTGTAACGAGTAGCAAATATTAATGAGTTTTGCGAACGAAGGGAAATGCCTCAGGCGGGTAACACCGAAAAAGCCTAGCGCGGAGCTCTCGAGACTAAGCGATCGAGGCGCGACACCCGCCCGTAGACGCCGCCGCCTTTACTGCTACCCGTGCATTCACTGCCATTACGTTCTCTGATCCGACCAGCGATCTTTGTGTCTTCCCCAAGCATCATCCTTTCCCTCCTTCCGCCGTATGAGTTTTCCACAGCAGGTTGTTTCCACTAGTCCCCCTAACCGCGTCCCATCGATTTCTCCGACCGATTGCGGCTCTGTGGTCCCACGTGAAGGAAGCTGACCCTCGGAAATCTAGGCTCGCCGCATGAATTGCGACCTGTCGGGAACACATCGGTTTTCTATCCGCGCACTCTAGCTCCAATCGGGCTGTCATGGCTTCAGGTGCCGGAGGAAAGAGAAAGAGAGGTGATAGATCGTGGTCTGGCGATTCAGGGAACGACGGTCAACGGCCATCGCCCCATCGACCGGGCAATCTCAACATGTCGCAACATAACTACGGTCCGCAATCTCGCGATTACTCTGACGCGCGTGGTCGATTACGAAGGCAACCCAGTCGGGGTGGAAGGAATAGCATGGGTCGAAGGCCCAGCACCGATGGTCAGAACCCTCCTGCCGGTCGGAGGGATAATGCCATGTCCCCGCCCAGCACAACTCCCGCGAAAGACGTCTCAGAACAGAGCCAGGCAAACGGCGTGCCTTCAACAACAGATCACCAAAA